TATATATATATACATGTATACATGTATATATATATATATATATATATATATATATATATATATATATATATATATATATATATATATATATATATATATATATATATGTATATATATATATATATATATATATATATATATATATATATATATATATATATATATATATATATATATATATATATATATAAATAATGGTTATAATACATTTTTATTCCTTTAATAAACAGAAGTAAATATAAACTGCTTTTTTTTGTAGAAAAATGATAATGTATTAAAAGACGTAACATGCTTAAAAGATACAACAGCTATAGCTTTCAGTTTAACTGAAACTTTAAACAGCCCCCTTGATGAGTCAGCTGTATCACCAACATTATCATCTTATAATATAACTTATTTTTGTAAGTGTTTCGTTTATACTTAGTTCATTATTTTACACCACATTATTTCAGCAATTAAATAAATTCTTTTTATAATTTAAAAAAAATAAATTTTAAACTAATACAAATGAAGATCTTCTTTTTATGTAGAACACACGTAGTTTGCTTGATGAGCATCAAACAGGTAAGCTTGTTTTGGCAGAATATGATTCTACAGGTGCACTTATTAAAAGCCATCAAGAAATGATCCACATTGTTGTTAACTCAATGGTCCATAGAGTTTGAAATATGTAAGTTTATGTTTATTTCCATATTATTATGGAACTATTGACATAACAATGAAAATATTAGTTTATAACAAATTATTTATAAAGTTATTTATAAAAATTATCAAACATTTGCTTACAATAAATTTTAAATATAAAAATATTTTTGTTAATATACATGTTTTAGGTATCCTTCCACAAAAACCAAATCTAATTTTGCAAAAACAATTATCACTGCCTTTCCAAAGCTGCATTCTGGTGGAAAACTTGGATATGTGAGACTATTAGAGACATTTTACTAATTTTTTTCCCTTATATATTTCACCTCCCCAAAATAAGGGCCACTTCAGTCGAGGAGGATACTAATTATTACTAGTAGTAAACTTATTATTGTTATAAGTAGTAGTATCTTTACAATTTGTCAATTATAGGTCAAGTTGTCTATGAGGTAATGAAACCTAATTTTACAAAAAAATATTATTTTTTTTTTAAGCACCTTTTTCAAAAGAAGAACTAAGTATGATTGCAGAGTTGAGATTTGATGACTTAGACTATGAAAGAAAGCTGGACTATATGGAAAAAACTTAATGCTCTCGTCGAAAATGGATTGTGAATTGTAGGCCAACATTTCATGATTTACTTAAAACATTTCCGCCACTAAAAGATCTATCCATACACATAAAAATAAAAATCATCGTATTATCATTCAAACTTTTCACCAATAAATATTTAAAATTATTCAACCACAAAAATGAAATGTCTTGTAATTCATACAAGATACATCTTGTAATTTATATATATTAGACATATAGGTTTTGTTGAAATATTATAAAATAAAAGAAAATTTTACTAACAGTTTTATACTATATTCCTATCTTAGTTTCAGAAAGATTTCTGTTGCAATTTCACAGAGTTGAATGATTTTTTGGCTCAATGGGAGTTAATAGCGCCACATGTTATCTCTTGGGCAAGGCAAAAGACAAATTTGATGGTCAAGCAGATTCTTGCTGAGCTTGATATGCAAGACAACCCTTCTATAGGTACGTAAGTATTATCTAAACAATATAGTTAGGTGTATTATAGATATCTAAAACCATTCTAATAAATTATAAATTGATAAAATGATTTCACTAAACTTTTATTTTATTTTTAATTCAGGAATTGAAATGGATTTTGCATTGTTATTACTCCCCTTTATAATTAAAGTACCATCAAAGAATAAAAGTTGTGCATCAGCTGCTGAAGTTGCAGAACATTTCATTCAATTTTATCCGGTATATTGTAATATTAGATTCTATTAGATATAAACATATTAAATTACATATTAAATATAATATTAAGTTTGTATTAATAGGCATAATAAAATGTATTTAATAACTATAGTTATTAAATACATTTTATTAATTATTAATACAAATATTATTTATGTATATATACATGTTATTAACATTATTATACAGAAAAATGCCTTGTTAAGAGTTGGACTCTCAAGGGAAGGGGAATACATAAATAGTTTGACTTAGCAAAGTTCTGGGTATGTAGAGAGTTCAAGGGAAATTGAAAATCTGTACGACTTATCCAAGGTCAAAGTTAACGGGATTCTACTGTATTTTTAGTTATTAAATATAGTAAATATAGTATTAGTTCTAATGGGCTGACATTTATATTTATTTTGTATCAAAATTTCCTTTTTTAATGACTTATTTTAATTTCATTTCTACATCTAAATAGGCATCAACTCCGATGGAAATTGTGCTTCAAAGTCTTACTCACAAGCATCCGTTAGTCATAGCTTTGGGTACTCATTGCAGTGTCGGTCAATTATTTATTGTTACAGAGTGTCAAGCTATTTCTGTCAACAGATGTATATCTTATGCTGTTGACATCTTAATTAAACTTTATTTTTTAATGAACATGGAGTATGCGGAACAATGTAGCCACATATTGTACTTTTTGCAGCATACCGTGTTAGGTTACCAAGATGAAATGCATCTATCGAGAGGAGCGAGTGACTTGTCCCTTTACCTTGGACAAAAACTTAATCAATTTTAAACGCAGAAACAATTATATTTTGGTTATTATTTGCTATATGCATTGTTATTGCTATATTGCGTAAATTTGTATAAATTATACTTTTAAATATATTGACTTTCTGAAAATAAAATATCGTTTTTATAACTAAACTGTGTTGATTTATAATCACGATTTTGAATTTTTACTATCTTCAGGCCTAATAAAAACTAATACCGCTTTTACGCTTAAACCAAGTTAGTTTATAATTGCGATTTGGAATATTTACTCTTTCAGGCAAAATACCTGAACTACTTTGTGCCGTATGGAACCAGACAAACATTCAGGTAAAATAACTGAACCTGAACTGGTTCAGGTTCAGGCATAATACCGGAACCGAAACAGTTCAGGTTCAGGTAAAAATCCTGAAACAGTTCAGGTTCAGGTATTTTACCTGAATGTTCATCTGGTTCCATACGGCACGAAGTGTTCAAGTATTTTGCCTGAAATTTCGGTCAATTTACCTGAACTTTTTTAAGAGTGTACTGTAGTAGAATAGTAGTTTTAAAAAATTCAAGACTTTCGAAAAAATTTTTCTAAGAAATCTCAAAAACTTAAAATTGAAAAATGTATTTTCAAAATAAAGTGTTACGGAGACAAAGACACTTAAAATTTGAAACTAGCACAATTTGTATAAAATAAGTTTTTGAAAATAAATTTATTTTGTCTCTCTGATATAGAAAAAACTCCTATAGAAAAAAAAAACTACATTTATTTTATAAAACAAGAAATTTAATTTTAAATTAAATCGGATGTGTAAAAATGTGTAAGCCCCACCTATTCTGTGTTTTTGCATTTTAATAAATTTAGAAGATAAAAATATTTTAGAATTTCCAAGGAACAGTTTTATAAAATTAAGTTCAAATGGGTTAAATATAAAGAAAAAAACATTTTCTCTGTTTTAGCCCAAATGTAGAAAAAATGTATTTTTTTAAAAAAGATTTTCTTAATAATCATAAATTTCTTAATTCAGTCTCAAGAAAATTTATATAGATGTAATCAGAAAAATAAATGCTTCATATATCATTCACATTTATCAACTGGATTTGAAAACAAGTAACTTTAATATTTATTTTTAAAGGTTTTAAAATCAAATTTGATGTCACATTTTATTATGCGTTGAATTATCACTGATAAGACATTCTTTACGGAACTTTAGTATAATATAATACAACATTTCCGGCGAAATGTCTTATTATATCATACCAGTGAAATCATAAATATATTAACTAATTACATACTTACAACGCAGTGAAATAACAAGAGGTGTTAAAAAGGGTTTACAAAATACTAAAAATTATAAAAAGACTTATAAAATACTATTGAAAACAATAAAAAGGAAATGCAAAATACTATTAAAAAATATAAAATACCATTAAAAAAAGAAAGAAAAAAGAAAAAGATTTAAAAACTTTTATTAAAACTTTGATGCAATTTAATTTTTTATATCTATTTTATGTGACATACTTATTAAATGAAAATGATAGTGGAAAATAAATGTGATAAAATAAAAATTTTGTTTGTTTTAAAATAAACTTAATTTATTTTATTTTATTCAATAAGATAATTTTTAAAGGTTAACAAAGGTCATACTATCAATAAATTATCACTGAAATAATATTCAACACCATTTTTACCATACCTTTTAAACAAACAAAGTACATTTAAACGTGAATGTTAAACTATTATATATATATATATATATATATATATATATATATATATATATATATATACATACATATATATATATATATATATATATATATATATATATATATATATATATATATATATATATATATATATATATATATATATATATATACAAAGATATATATATATACATATATATATATAT